TGTCTGAAACAGAAGGTGCATTAGGTAAAGGGTTAGAATGAGCTGGTCTGGACTGGCTGTGGGTATAAGGTTTGCTACTCTGTGGGGTATAATTATTTTTATTGGGCCTTTTGCCCGCCAATTGGTAGTTTTCTGCCAACTTGGCCAAATCCCCTATTTTAGAATTTAACTCTATCCTTCCTTTAATGTACTGTGATACGTTCTCTGGCATAACATCTATAAAATGCTCCATTAAAATTAAGTTCCTGAGAGCCTCGTATGTTTCGGCTTTCGCCGAGCGAATCCATCTATCAAATAATCGAATTTGATCATTCACAAATTCAGTGAGCGGTTGGTTGTGAGTAGGCCTAAGGTTACGATAAACTTGGCGGTGAGCTTCAGGAGTAATTTCATATGCCCGCAAAATACATTCCCTGACTTTATCATATTCGAAACACTCGTCGTCAGGCATGTTTATAAAAATATCTTGTGCTTTACCCCTAAGTCTTCCCTGTAGGATTTTCACCCACTCTTCCTTTGGCCAGTTCATGGACGTGGCCACTCTCTGAAAATGGTTGAAAAACCTTTCAGGGTCAGACTCGGAAAATTCAGGCAAATTATGCTTTTTCTCATAATGCCTGGGGTTTGAATCCCCGGCAGGTGGAGTTCCAGTGGCATTCGCTCTAATTTTAGCCTCCTCGGTTTTGAGTCTTTGCTCCTCTAATTTTATTTTTGCTAACTCTAAAGCTAATTCACTTTCCCTATGAGTTGCACTTTCTGCTTGGCTAGGCTGGCATAAAGGTGTATCACTTGCCAATAGTTGTTCATCAATACAATGTTGTAATATTTCATTCACCAAAGTCCACTTTTTATCTGCGACATTTAATTCTAGGCCAAATTCCTGGCCTAACAATACTAAATTAGACTTTTTAAGTTTCTTTATCTCTACCACTGAAGGCTCCCTTGCCAGTTTCTGCATTTCAGAAGACATCACTAATAATTTTAGCTCCCAGCCAAAGAAAAAATTAAAAAGTAAAAATTGGAAAAAAAAACAAAAATTTGCACGGCCCCTAACACAAGGCCACACTAACCTTAATCGTGAAGGGATCCAGCTGGGTGTCCAGTCAGTGCAAGAATGTCCTTTGCTAGATGAGCTGGACCCTAGGCTAGCACACAACCGTTCTGCAGAAATAAAAAATTTTAATTTTGGCACTCAAGAATCTAATTTTTTACACTTATAATGTTCCTCCCGGACTGGCCAACCACTTGTTATAAATGATATGAGTGGGGCTTCTATGGGGTACTGGTACTATTAAGGGGTATAGGTAGTTAGAAGACAGGAGTATCAAATATGGGAGAGCTAAAAGGCCCGGCCCCCAAAATAAACTATCCACAGTAGTAATAACTTGCTACAAGACCAAATATGTTAGTCTAAGGGTTGATCACTGCGCTCCCACCTTGGAAGAAGAGATACTCTGTAATTCATGTACTTATTTATTAACCCGTTAACAACCCCCCATATACACTCACACCAATAACAATAATAATAATAACTTTACCACACTATCTTACGTTAAAAGCCTTGGTCCACATAGGCAGGATACAAGGTTTACACTAATAACAAGCTAGGGTAAAGTACTACTGGATAAGCCCTGAAGCTGGATGCAGCTTAGGGTAGTGAGACCACGGGGGACCCTAATACAAAACACGAACACTTAGGGTAAACAAAACACTGGCAAATACTAACCCCAGGTCTCACCAATAGTTACTACCAGAGTAGGCACACTTACACCATATAATACTTAACTTAAGGGTACAGGAACTTCAGGTAAGGGAAATAAGTAAGAGGAGAAGGAAGGAGAGTAGGGATACAGCCACAGAGTAGGTCTTAACCTCACGCCACCAGCCAAGAGAAGACCGAGCTCCTCGCGACCACCTGGCCTCCCTCATGTCGTGGTGCCGGAAGGAGCCTAATTGATCGTGCAGCTAAGCACATTAAAGATCTTCCCCTATGCAACGTATTGTTACTTTATGAATGATTAGAAAGTATTAGTAAGCAAAGTTGGTGCCTATGTTATTATTTAATAATCAACCCCCAGCTCAGTCTTTAAATGCTCTTTGAGAAACAATAATAGTCTTACGTCTGGCAGGGAAGATACAAACAATTTCCATTCGAAATGCGCCAACTGTACTACTTAGGAAGTTTAATAGCTCAATTTTGACCTCTGGTTTCCACTGGAGAACCCAGGGTCGTAACATAGTGATCTTGCTGCCTAGAGAACATCTTCTATATGCCTGGAGAACAACTTCTATATGCCTGGAGAACAACTTCTATAGTAATCTTGTAGCAAGTAACACAGTATCTATGGTAATCTTGCTGCCAGGTTATAATGATAGAAGAGAACATTGTTTGTGTCTGCAGACTTAACACTTGTTTTGTGTTCCTTAAGTCTGTCGTTCAGTGTACGGCCAGTTTCACCAAAGTATTGGAGAGGACAAGACGAACAGGAAACAGAGTAGACACCAGCAGTATTGGAAGAAGGAGGAGCAGTGTGAATCAGATTGCTACTAAGTGTGTTAGTTTGTCGAAAGCTGAGTTTTACATCAAGAGGGCGAAGGGTATTAATGAGCTTTTTGAGTTCAGATATAAAGGGAAGGCACAACACAGTGTTACCAGAGGATGTATATTTAATAATGACATTAATATGCAAAAGCGTCTAGTGATTTAAATTTTGCCCCGAGGGACGAGTTTATTGGGCAGCGCCACTCATCCTGTGAGTGGACTCTTCCCCATAGCAGCATGTACAACACTCCCTAATAGGAAGAAAACCCGCTGGGTTGTTCTGCCTATCCGTCTCAGTGATGTCGCCAACATTTTATTTATTAACAAGGTTAGGTATATTGAGCAATGTACCGTAATGTACATAAAAGATTACACAGTGTAGATAAAACACTAGCTATAACTTCATCTAATATCCCTATCTCACAGGATGGTCAGTCATACATGGAATCAGGAGAGAACATAAAATGTAAGGCTGTTTTACTAGCCTCTACTAGCACACAATGAGTACAGCACAAGAATATCCTCCAATATTCCTGAGTGTATGAAGTAATTACAGAGCTCAAAGTCAACCCGTTCTCACAAATTTAATAAGTCAATATTGACTTATTAAATATGTGCATAGGTGACATACTTAACATAATAGTTTCCCTTGAAAAGCTTCATAGAAAACACCGACCTTACCTAACCTACTTAGTATGTTAAGATAAACATCTTATTGCTTCGTAATTACAGTCATTACCTAACCTATACCTATAATAGGTTAAGTAACAATTGTAATTACGAAGCTATAAGATGCTTATTTTAACATACTAAGTAGGTTAGGTAAGGTCGGTGTTTTCTATGAAGCTTTTCAAGGGAAACTATTATGTTTAGTATGTCACCTATGCACGCAACTAATAAGTCAATATTGACTTATTAAATTTGAACCCGTTCTCACAAATTTAATAAGTCAATATTGACTTATTAAATATGTGCATAGGTGACATACTTAACATAATAGTTTCCCTTGAAAAGCTTCATAGAAAACACCGACCTTACCTAACCTACTTAGTATGTTAAGATAAGCATCTTATTGCTTCGTAATTACAATTATTACCTAACCTATTATCTCAAAGTACCTCATACCATTTGGTCTGAAGTCACTTATAACAGGGCAGTTACAGCTATACAGTAGTTTTGGAGAGTATGTCCCAACTCTTGTTCACATAGTTTACATTTGGAATGTTCACCATTGGGAGATTCATTACCTGTAGCCACCTGCCATAGATATTGATGTACCAGCCTAATTTTGGCAATTATAATGTCACACTGTTTAGTATTTACCTAGTTGTGTTTACGGGGGTTGAGCTTTGGCTCTTTCGGTCCGGCTCTCAACTGTCACTCAATCACCGGTTTTTCACACATACACACTTGGGCGTTGGTAGCTGATTGGACAGCGCGCGGGACTCGTAATCCTGTGGCCCGGGTTCGATTCCGGGCACAGGCGAGAAACAATGGGCAGAGTTTCTTTCACTCTAATGCCTCTGTTACCTAGCAGTAAATAGGTACCTGGGAGTTAGTCAGCTGATACAGGCTGCTTCCTGGTGTGTGTGTCTAGGAAAAAAAACATTAGTAGATAGTAACAGTTGATTGACAGTTAAGAGGCGGGCCGAAAGAGCAGAGCTCAACCCCCGCAAGCACAACCAGGTGAATACACACGCACGCGCGCGAACAGATGCAGCAGGGTGAAAGAAACTGTCCATTTGTTTCCGCCATCGGCAGGGATCGATCCCCGGTCCACAGGACTACGTATCCCGTGTGCTGTCCTCTCAGCCACCAGGCGCCCTTAGATAGAGGATGTTTTGTGCTGACCGTACATATAGGTTTTGGTTCTTGTTTAAATTAAATTACATTTTTTATTCAGGAAAAGTACATACATAGATGAAGAGTTACAAACATAATGTTGGAATTATAGATAGAGCTAGTACATACAATACCTAAAGCCACTAATACGCATAGCGTTTTGGGCAAACACCCGAAACGTTCCAGTTTTGTTTGTGTCAACATGCTGGACAACACGTACTGAGCGTGTCGGTAGGCTTGTACCGAGGTCCTGAGGTGGAACTACTGACTTTTATATATATTATAAATCAGTTATGTATAAAGTGCAAATACCACCGAGAACTTGGGTCTCTTCAGGTGAATTATGAATCGTACGTCCGCCCATATAACGTGGGCGGTACTGAGTAAGTGGGTGCGGGATATCCAATAATTAATTCTGCAACAAAAATATTCACTTTCTGCACAGAATCGGAATGAAATAACAAATCATTGAAAATAAAACAGTACAAAATTCAACAACAAAGATCATTTGTGGAACAAAAGAATGTATAATTAATTGAAGACTAAATATCCGGGCGGGAATTCCCGGTGGAGCGGACGCCGCGGGCGGCCCTGGGGGACCCCGCCAGTGTCACTACAGACTCCGTCGTGTCCGGTCACGCGCCACCTCACTCTATAAAAGTTATCTGTTTATTTTTCATATTTGAATAAGTGCCATACGGTTTTAGGATTGCCAAAGCCAGTAAGTCATTTTTGTGTTGTATATAAGTTGTAACATTAAGCTTGTACTCACCTAGTTGTGCTTGCTATGAGCTCTGGCTCTTTGGTCCCGCCTCTCAACTATCAATCAATTTGTATACAGATTCTTGAGCCTATTGGGCTCTATCAAATATATATTTGAAACTGTGTATCCTCTTATGTTCCTGTGTATCCTCTTATGTTCCTGTGTATCCTCTTATGTTCCTGTGTATCCTCTTATGTTCCTGTGAATCCTCTCGTGTTCCTGTGTATCCTCTTGTGTTCCTGTGTATCCTCTTATGTTCCTGTGTATCCTCTTATGTTCCTGTGTATCCTCTTATGTTCCTGTGTATCCTCTTATGTTCCTGTGTATCCTCTCGTGTTCCTGTGTATCCTCTTATGTTCCTGTGTATCCTCTTATGTTCCTGTGTATCCTCTTATGTTCCTGTGCATCCTCTTGTGTTCCTGTGTATCCTCTTATGTTCCTGTGTATCCTCTTATGTTCCTGTGTATCCTCTCGTGTTCCTGTGTATCCTCTTGTGTTCCTGTGTATCCTCTTATGTTCCTGTGTATCCTCTTATGTTCCTGTGTATCCTCTCGTGTTCCTGTGTATCCTCTTGTGTTCCTGTGTATCCTCTTATGTTCCTGTGTATCTCTTATGTTCCTGTGCATCCTCTTGTGTTCCTGTGTATCCTCTTGTGTTCCTGTGTATCCTCTTATGTTCCTGTGTATCCTCTTATGTTCCTGTGTATCCTCTTATGTTCCTGTGTATCCTCTTATGTTCCTGTGTATCCTCTCGTGTTCCTGTGTATCCTCTTGTGTTCCTGTGTATCATGTTCCTGTGTATCCTCTTATGTTTCTGTGTATCCTCTTATGTTCCTGTGTATCCTCTTATGTTCATGTGTATCCTCTCGTGTTCCTGTGTACCCTCTCGTGTTCCTGTGTATCCTCTCGTGTTCCTGTGTATCCTCTTATGTTTCTGTGTATCCTCTCATGTTCCTGTGTATCCTCTTATGTTCCTGTGTATCCTCTCATGTTCCTGTGTATCTTCTCGTGTTCCCGTGTATCCTCTCGTGTTCCTGTGTATCCTCTCGTGTTCCTGTGTGTCCTCTGGTGTTCCTGTGTATCCTCTTGTGTTCCTGTGTATCCTCTTATGTTCCTGTGTATCCTCTGGTGTTCCTGTGTATCCTCTCGTGTTCCTGTGTATCCTCTCGTGTTCCTGTGTATCCTCTCGTGTTCCTGTGTATCCTCTTATGTTCCTGTGTATCCTCTCATTTTCCTGTGTATCTTCTCGTGTTCCCGTGTATCCTCTCGTGTTCCTGTGTATCCTCTTGTGTTCCTGTGTGTCCTCTTGTGTTCCTGTGTATCCTCTCATGTTCCTGTGTATCCTCTTATGTTCCTGTGTATCCTCTCGTGTTCCTGTGTATCCTCTCGTGTTCCTGTGTATCCTCTCGTGTTCCTGTGTATCTTCTTATGTTCCTGTGTATCCTCTCGTGTTCCTGTGTATCCTCTCGTGTTCCTGTGTATCCTCTCGTGTTCCTGTGTATCCTCTCGTGTTCCTGTGTATCCTCTCGTGTTCCTGTGTATCCTCTCGTGTTCCTGTGTATCCTCTCGTGTTCCTGTGTATCCTCTCGTGTTCCTGTGTATCCTCTCGTGTTCCTGTGTATCCTCTCGTGTTCCTGTGTATCCTCTCGTGTTCCTGTGTATCTTCTTATGTTCCTGTGTATCCTTTCGTGTTCCTGTGTATCTTCTCGTGTTCCTGTGTATCCTCTTGTGTTCCTGTGTATCCTCTCGTGTTCCCGTGTATCCTCTCGTGTTCCTGTGTATCCTCTCGTGTTCCTGTGTGTCCTCTGGTGTTCCTGTGTATCCTCTTGTGTTCCTGTGTATCCTCTTATGTTCCTGTGTATCCTCTTATGTTCCTGTGTATCCTCTGGTGTTCCTGTGTATCCTCTCGTGTTCCTGTGTATCCTCTCGTGTTCCTGTGTATCCTCTCGTGTTCCTGTGTATCCTCTTATGTTCCTGTGTATCCTCTCATTTTCCTGTGTATCTTCTCGTGTTCCCGTGTATCCTCTCGTGTTCCTGTGTATCCTCTTGTGTTCCTGTGTGTCCTCTTGTGTTCCTGTGTATCCTCTCATGTTCCTGTGTATCCTCTTATGTTCCTGTGTATCCTCTCGTGTTCCTGTGTATCCTCTCGTGTTCCTGTGTATTCTCTCGTGTTCCTGTGTATCTTCTTATGTTCCTGTGTATCCTCTCGTGTTCCTGTGTATCCTCTCGTGTTCCTGTGTATCCTCTCGTGTTCCTGTGTATCCTCTCGTGTTCCTGTGTATCCTCTCGTGTTCCTGTGTATCCTCTCGTGTTCCTGTGTATCCTCTCGTGTTCCTGTGTATCCTCTCGTGTTCCTGTGTATCCTCTCGTGTTCCTGTGTATCCTCTCGTGTTCCTGTGTATCTTCTTATGTTCCTGTGTATCCTTTCGTGTTCCTGTGTATCTTCTCGTGTTCCTGTGTATCCTCTTGTGTTCCTGTGTATCCTCTCGTGTTCCTGTGTATCCTCTCGTGTTCCTGTGTATCCTCTCGTGTTCCTGTGTATCCTCTCATGTTCCTGTGTATCTTCTCGTGTTCCTGTGTATCCCCTCGTGTTCCTGTGTATCCTCTCGTGTTCCTGTGTATCCTCTTGTGTTCCTGTGTATCCTCTCATGTTCCTGTGTATCTTCTCGTGTTCCTGTGTATCCCCTCGTGTTCCTGTGTATCCTCTTATGTTCCTGTGTATCCTCTCATGTTCCTGTGTATCCTCTTATGTTCCTGTGTATCCTCTCGCGTTCCTGTGTATCCTCTTGTGTTCCTGTGTATCTTCTCGTGTTCCTGTGTATCCTCTTGTGTTCCTGTGTATCCTCTCGTGTTCCTGTGTATCCTCTCGTGTTCCTGTGTATCCTCTCGTGTTCCTGTGTATCCTCTCGTGTTCCTGTGTATCCTCTCGTGTTCCTGTGTATCCTCTCGTGTTCCTGTGTATCCTCTCGTGTTCCTGTGTATCCTCCTATGTTCCTGTGTATCCTCTCATGTTCCTGTGTATCCTCTTATGTTCCTGTGTATCCTCTCGTGTTCCTGTGTATCCTCTTGTGTTCCTGTGTATCTTCTCGTGTTCCTGTGTATCCTCTCGTGTTCCTGTGTATCCTCTTGTGTTCCTGTGTATCCTCTCGTGTTCCTGTGTATCTTCTCGTGTTCCTGTGTATCCTCTTGTGTTCCTGTGTATCCTCTCGTGTTCCTGTGTATCCTCTCGTGTTCCTGTGTATCCTCTCGTGTTCCTGTGTATCCTCTCGTGTTCCTGTGTATCCTCTCGTGTTCCTGTGTATCCTCTCGTGTTCCTGTGTATCCTCTCGTGTTCCTGTGTATCCTCTCGTGTTCCTGTGTATCCTCTCGTGTTCCTGTGTATCCTCTTGTGTTCCTGTGTATCCTCTCATGTTCCTGTGTATCTTCTCGTGTTTCTGTGTATCCCCTCGTGTTCCTGTGTATCCTCTCATGTTCCTGTGTATCCTCTCTTGTTCCTGTGTATCCTCTCATGTTCCTGTGTATCCTCTCATGTTCCTGTGTATCCTCTCGTATTCGTGTGTATTTCCTATTGACAGAAGGGTGGAGGTCGAGGGAGCGAATCTCTAATATCAAGAATTCCTATAATACCCCAAGGAGGTCGAGGGGACGGGGCCTTTGACAAGCCACTGGCCTCCAGTCTTCTTCGAGGCCACTAGTGTAAGTGGCTCTCGGGTAAATTGAGGCAATTCGTCTTAGATAAAAGTTCCAGTTGGACAGTTCCACCACTTACTCTCTGTCCCAGAGAGTAAGTGGTGGTCAAAGTCTGTTGCCAAAGACATGCCTGGACCTCCCTCACTGTCAGGAGCAATTAACTTGTCCCCTCTACGTAGAACGACGTCGTTTTTCGCTCGTATTAGCGTTAAATACGGCCAAAAATTGTCGTACATGGAAGCGGCTGGTGAAAGTTACGTACTGTCCCATTTTCTGTATTAGGACACGTTAATTTGACCGTTTTCTTGATTTAGGAAACAGGGTAGACTGACCTGAGAGCCTGCTCACTCCCTTTTCCATCAAAAATATATGTTTTATGATAAATTACATGTTTTAAAAGTTTGGAATGTTTTTTTGCCAGTGTGGTGGCGTTTTAAAAATAATTTTTTCCCCGTTCTGTACCCTGAAAGATATCGCAAGTTGGATGGTTCGAATGTTAATAGCCTTGTTTGACAACGTGTTCACTCGCGATAGTGTGCCAGTCGCGTCTTTGTAATTGGGACACGATATTGTTGTGCTCCATGCTACTGCGGTGTGTCCACTCACAGGATGAGTGACGCTGCCCAATAAATTAGCTCCACTGAAGAAGAATAATTATGACAATTACGAAACAAGTATATCCGCAAACATTCAGACTAGCTGTTTCTACCAGTAATTATTCCATCATTCACAGTTTTTCTCCTTTTGACTGTTTCTTGCCCTGGGATCTCTAGCCGCCTCGTTCCTGCCAGCGTTCCCAAACATCGAGAAACTGTCGTACTAAAGTGCCGTTATCCTAACCTACCAGAGGACCCAAAACAGAAAACGGGACAGAATTTCAATTTCGCCAGCCGCTACCATTGTCTAATACGACAGACTTTGGCCCTTTGGGGAAGTGTACGTACAAAATGCGACGTGCTATGAGGAGGCCGGGTTGGGTGAGGTGGGAATGGTCCGAGTGCCAGCCACCGCGACACGTGGCGCTGCCGCAGTTAACAAGGAGCGTCACTCTGCTGCTGGCACTCGGTGCCGGCACTCAGTGACTCACAGAGCAGCGAGGCGCACATGGCCCCCTCTCCCCTTACATCACCCCTCCCTTAATACCCTCACTCCCAAGGTAAACACCCCACTACCCTCATCCCACCCCACACCCCCACACCCCTCCACATTATACAACACTTAGTAAACACATCAATTGTTTTTCACACATCTTTATCCTTTTGTTGGAAT